CCCACTGAGATGCTGGAGTAAAATCAGAGGATAGTTCAGCTACCAATTTCTGGTCATATAGAGATTTGGAGGTTTACCCATATACCATTGTGTCATCATATTCACAAATGATTGTTTCCATTTTCTCTAAAACTTTACCATTGCTCATATTGGAGCATGGTTTTCTCAGTATTTCTGTAGAAACACATTTCTATTGCTTCAAGTCTCTTCTTCATCTGTGAGGAGACTGTCTAACATTCACTGCCATACAGGTTGACTGATATCATGTAACAGTTCAATACACTTTTCTTTGTTTCTAACAAAATTTTTCTATTTCTTAATACTTTGCTTAGCCTTTGGAAGGCATCTTTCTGCTTGTTTCTTAAGGGTTTTAAGTAGGCATTCTCATTTTTCTTCTTTCGTTCTTTTTTACGGTTTTGTTTCTCACTTCTTCATTTTTCTTTCTGCTTCTCTACTTATGTTAATTCTTTCTTCCTTTTTAACATTTTTTCAATATTTTTTGATTACTCTTTCTTGTGGATGGGGTGTAATAAATAGAGAACTTGAATAGAAAAGTTGGGTTTGTTACATTCCATTATGCACAATTGCCCTTGGCAAAGATATGAATCAATTCCTTTATCTCCCCCTATCTATAAGTTAAATAGTCAAACAGTCAAAGCCCTGTAACCTTGGATGGCAACGAATGTAGAAGGAAATAATCATGGAGTTCATATTGAATCTATGATCCTGACTATGGTTGGCCTCCTTTCTTGAAACTACAATATTTATTTGGTATTTATTATAAGTTAAAAAAGTAATAAAGATACTTTTTTTACATTTTTAGTCTTTCTAGTTGTCAGAATCCATTTTGCACATTTATAAAATCTACTATTGATCTATGAATTAAATATTGCTCTGCTATATTTAGTCTGATGTCTAGTATATATCTTGAGATTCTTAACAAAATTCAAAAAAGAGTCTGTAATAAAATAAGTCCTGACCTGGCATCTCATCAACTTCTCACTGATGTGATATGGCTTTCCTCTGTCTTTTCTACAAATATTTTCAAGGCATTTCTTATGATAAGCTTACTTCCTTGATGTCTCAACTGTATGAATCAAACATACTAGATGAACAACTAGGTCTCACCATTTTACTGTTATACTAGTTAGCTGCAACTGTATATTCTATTTTAATAGTTTCTTTTGCTTTTCTCACCTGTGGAACTCCCTTCCAATTTCTTGTTTCCCTGCTACCTTCAAAAATTTAAATGCAATATCAATTCTATTCTAATAGTTACTTTTCTTGTACTTCTTCCTGTGGAAATCTCTTCCTTCCCTTTCACCTACAATGTTCAAAAATTTAATTGCAATGCCACTCACTATCTTCTGTCTTCCTAAAACCTGTTTTTTTTATTATCCTTTCTCTTCACTAAGGTCTTCTCTCCCAGTAAACACCTTGCATTTTGGTGGCATTATTGCTTTGATTGGAATGAAATGATTAAAAAAAAGTCTACTAGTCAAAATTAGGAAGACATAATAATATGGATTCAATAATGTTTTATATATGATAATGCCCAAGATGAGTTGATGAGACAGAATAAAAAGACATAATAATAGGCATGCACTAATTCTTAAAATGTGCTTATGCAACAGTTGAGTTGACAAATCAGAATAGAAAGACATAATATGTATATGATAATACTTAAAATGTGATAATGTCTAAAATGAGTTGACAAATCAGAATAGAAAGACATACAATAATGCTACATATATGATAATTCCCAAAATATGGCTACTAGTCAAATGAATAAAAGACAGTAACTTTTTGAATGTTCATACTTTTAGTAATAAATGAATTTAAATTTTCATTTATCTTTTCTCTCCTCAGAGATATGTGAAGATGAAATTCACTCATCAGCACCTTTGATTGTATAGTTTAACATCCACTGAGTTGAGACAAGATAAAGGAAAATTTAATTTAATTTTTTACTATTAATGTTCTATTTCTTCTTACTGAGTGCTATACTTACATAGATTGCTTCCCTTAAAAATTTTTAGCTTCCAGAAATACTCATTTTCTTTTCTTTGGTGAGACAAAATCTTTGATTTTATAAATATTAATAATTTATGAGCATGTTATTCAAAGTTTATTCTATCTTTAATGTATCAGTGCATATTTGATGTAGTTTCTCAGTAAGAAAAAATAAAATAAAACTAAGTATGGTAGTATATAATAATTTCTGATGCCAACATTACAAAATTAAATCACCTGACATGTGCGGAAAAATGAAATTTAAACATCTTAGAGACCTGGAATCTATTTATTTTAGTTAATTTAAAAGTTATTTTTACAGGCTTTTTGCATAAAATAAAATTATCATATCTGTTTCTTTTTTTAATGCTTCAGGTAAAATAAATTTGGTTGTAATTTTCAACCAGTCTCAAAGTTTAAATAAACCAATGAATATTTTCCCTTTGAACCTGTATAACTGAACTGATTCGAATAGAATCACAAGGGTTCTGTGACTATTCACATTGTTAATACTGTCAATTACCGTAGGCATAAAATATGTTTATAATGTTTCACTAAAAAGCAAGCCTGTTTGAAAGAATATCTCCCACTGTTTTTATTTGAGGACATGTACTCACTCATATATATATATATATATATATATACACACACACACACACACAAACAATTATGCAAATGTGTGTTTCTTTACATACATCTGGGTTTTTTTATATGTAATGTATATGATAATGAATGTCTACTTGTTAAAAGAACATGACTATTGCTGATTTTTCAAACTTTTAAATATAAACATGTACATTTACATATGTTTTTGTATGTACAAAATCAAAAATGAATTTGATATTCACATGTCTGGTCAAATTTGATCACATCGATAATTTTTAAATACTCCTTTGAACACACACACACACACACAATGCTACTAGCCTTAAAATATGTATAACAGTAAAAGATTTTACATATTTTGATAGGTGTATTTATTATATTAGGTTTTGTTCAATTTATTTTTTTCAATTTATTAAGACAAATTATTTTTAAAAACCATATATATATATATTTATATATAATATATATATATATATATGATATAAATTAAAATAAGTGTATATATATATATATATATATATATATATATATAAAAATAAGTGTGCATATATATATATATATATATATAAAAAATGTGGGTGTATAGCAATCTATATATGTATTGAGATAATTGTATATGCATATTTTACATATATGTGTGTATCTCTACATCTATCTATATCTGTAAGTCTCTCTCTCTTTTTATATATATATATTTCTATGCACACACACATTATGTATGTATGTAAGTATATATATATATATATATATATATATATATATATATATATATATATATCAGGGAGTGTATATCTGTATACATAAAAAGAAAAGGATGATAATTTATGTGATTCAAAAAATCTTTTGCATTCAAAATAAGAATTAAAATGTTGACAATTAAAAAGAAATCATAAGAATTATGTTAGAATATGCGAAACTGCTGATAGCTTTTCTTATAAATTTAGTCAGATATTGGTGACCATCTGGCATGTTCATTAGTACAACATTTGCACATATTTTAATGCATTAATTTGCAGAAGACATTTTTTTCTTTATTTTCAGAGAGTGTCATGAGTCTCATCTTCAAATGCAAACATCTATTCACATCAGAATATGAAGCTAAAGTAACTAGAAAAGATTTTTAATAATCAGAATAATAATAATAATAATCATACATTATTATAGCAATAATAATAATAATCAGAATATTAATAATATTTATTTATTATTATAGCAATAATAATAATCATCATATATTATTATAGCAATAACAATAATAATCATATATTTTTATAGCAATAATAATCATATATTATCATAGCAATAATAATAATCAGAATAATAATAATATATTATTATAGCAATAATAATGATGATAACCATATATTATTATAGCAGCAATAATAATAATAATCATATATTATAGCAATAATAATAATCAGAATAATAATAATAATAATAATCATATATTATTATAGCAATAATAATAATAATAATCAGAATAATAATAATAATAATAATCATATATTATTACAGAAATAATAATAATCAGAATAATAATAATCATATATTATTATAGCAATAATAATAATAATTGAATATTAATAATAATTATTTATTATTATAGCAATAATAATAATAATCATATATTATTATAGCAATAATAATAATAATCATATATTATTATAGCAATAATAATAATAATCATATATTATTATAATAATAATAATAATAATCATCATCATATTATAGCAATAATAATAATAATCAGAATAATAATAATAATAATCATATATATTATTATAGCAATAATAAAAGCAGCATTGTCTTAGTATTATGACTTTAAGGTTCTTAGATATTAGCCATAAGAAGAGAAGCTTTAGTTCAGCAAAAATATTCCTATTGAAGACTGGCTTTTTACAGTTTTTGACAAGAAAAGGATTTCACTTCTTATTTTTTTTAAAGATAGTATCTTAACTTTCTTTCACTTCCACAATATCCTTCCAGTTATTTAATTTTTTTTCTTCCATTTATTTTTTTTCTTTCTTCTTGTTAACTTCTGTTCTTTCCTTTATGTTTGTTGCAATATTTTTTTCATTTTTACTCTTATTTATTCAATCATTTTACATGTTTTTCTCTTTCCATTTATTTTTCAATTTTTTTTGCATTTATTTTTTTAAACTTAGTATAATTACTTTTTCTGTTAGCATTTTCCTTCCTTTTATTAATCTTTCATATTTATTCATCTGCCCCTTCTTTTTTCTTCCATTTATTTTCCAGTAAATCTTTATTTCTTTTGTACTTCATTTTTCCAATTGTTCTTTTTATTCTATTTACAGTTTTTTTTATTCTTTTTGAAAATTTTCTTTATTTTCTAAATATTTTTCATTCATTGTTTCCATATGGTGTTGCCCTCATATTTTTCCCCTTTTTCTTTAAGGTAAAAGTTTTCCTTTCATTCTATCTTCATTCTTTTTTAAAATTTCTATTGTTTCATTCAATTTCTTTCTTTCCTGTGATCTTATTTCATTTTAGCTTTTTTCTTCTTTGAAATGGTTATTTGTTATTTTGCGTGTGTTTTCTCTTCTCAATGTTACTCCTTTATTTATTTTTTTCTATCATATTATATCTACTTTTCAGGGCATTTTTTTAGTTTATGCAATCTCAAATTTTATTTTTCTATGAACAGTTCTTTTGTAAAATGGTTTTGTTTGGAGTAAGTTACCCATTTCATTTTTACTGCAGAAAACATCTAAAAAGAAATTCACCCCCCCCCAAAATATGACAAACATAGTCATGTGTATAAAAATTTCAGCATACACATGAACAAACATTTACATCAATTCACAGAGATAAACATATATGTAGGAACATCAATAAGTCCATAGCCCAGTAATGAAAAAAGCATTTATTTTATACAAGGAATATTTATTTTTCAGTCTAACCTTCTTATTTGTCAATGCACCTAATTTAGTAGTATATTTAAACACATACATCAAACATTATACAGTGAAAATTTCAGATCAAAATTCAGCTAATAACTATATTTTAGGCAGAAGAGTTATTGATCAAGCTTTGTACAAAATGATTCTATATAACAAGCTATGTATGTATGGATGTCGAAGGAATATTTATTTTTTTTCATTTCAAGAATATTTTTTAATTTATTTTTATTTCTTTCTTACCTGAAATTCTGCTTTTTGTCAGGTTTCACTGTGATTTTTATTTTAAAATCAGGTACAATTCTTGTTCATATTTCAGTGACGGTGATCTTTCTTTCCATTTTATTTTGCCTCTGAATTTTCACTTTTTACCTTTCTTTTTCTCTTATACTTTTTTCTTTTCTCCCTTCTTTCATCTTTGCTTTTCTTTGGATTTTTCCTATTTTTTTTTTACTATCTACTTATTCATCTATATTCTTCTCTATTTTTTGATTCCTCTCCCTTCTTTTGGATTTTTGTTTTTCCTGCTTTTTATCTCATTTTCTTCTTTTCCTAATTTTCCCTCTCTTTTATCGGCTCTTTCATCTTCCATCATCTCTTTCTTATTCTTTCATTTCTTTTCTATTTTTCTTTTTCCTTCTTCTTTTATTCTTCTCTTTTTCTTTCTTTTCTTTTCTGCTCTTTATTTTCCTTTCATTTCCTTCCTTCTCTTTTATTTTTCCTTCTTTTCTTTCCTCTTTAATCTTTGTCTTTTCTCTCCTTTTTCTTTCATTTCTTTTATATCTTTCGTTTTACTTTCTTTCTTTCCCCTTGTTTCTTTTTACTTTCTTTCTTCACTCTCTTTCTTTTTTATTTGTTGTCTTCCTTCACTTTCTTTTTCTTTTTTCTCTTCCCTCTCTTTCTTTTTATTTCCTTCTTTCTCTTTCTTTTTAATTCCTTTTTTCCTCATATTCTTTTTACTTTCTATTTACTTCCTTTCTTTTCTCTCTTTCCTTTTTCTTGTTTTTCATTGTTTTCCCTCTTTCTTTTTACTACCTTTTTTCCTCATATTCTTTTTACTTTCTTTTCTCTCTTTGTTTTTATTTTCTTTCTTCTTATTTCCTTTTTTCTCTTTCCTTTCTTTTCTTCTCTTTTCTTTCTTTCTTGTTATTTCTTTTATTTCTTCACTTTTTTCTTTTGCTATCTCTCTTTTTACAACCTTTTTTCCTCATTTTTTTTACTTACTTTCTATGTCATTTCTGACTTCTTTTCCTCTCTCCTCTCTCACCTTTCTTTCTTACTTTTTTGTCTTTACTTTGATCTTTATTCTTTCCTCCCACTGCCTTTCTTTATTCGTTTTTATTCTTTTTTACATCAAATATTGTTCTTAAACTTGACCTTAGTATTCTAGCACAAATTTTATTTCTTTATTCTTTCTTTCTTTCTGGGGCTAAGCCTTTCTTTCTCTCCCCTTTGGTATTTTATTCTACTTGTAAAGTGGATTACTCTTACTATAGTTTGGGTTTAGTCATTTTGAGGTGTTTATTTGTTAGCTGTTCTTATATTTAAAAAAATACGAAAGACAAATATCGGTAAAAAAGTATTATAATTCTTATATTTTTCATCTCGTATATTTTTTGTAAAAATATTTTACCTTTTCATTGCATATTTTTACATTTATTTGCATGACTTTTTTCTTTTTAGTTCAGACATTTGTTTTTGCCCGCATTCTATTTCTTTGTATTTTATTTCAGTTTTTTTTCCAAAATATTTTTTTAAGTATTTCCTATGCCATTTTTTTTTGTTGTGTCTTAATTTTTCTTCATTTCACTTTGATATTTTTTGTCTGTAATTTTTTTCTTTCTTTATTTTTTTGATAGATTTTTTTCCCTCTATCATATTTCATCTTTTCTTCATCGTTTCCTGTTTTAATATAATCCCCATGTTCTTGGAGGGATTTGTGCAATGGTAGCAGCATCAGCCACCATGGCGCTCACTATACATTTTACCATTCTTTACATCATCTCCCCAGAACCTTACCCATCTTCTTCCTACATTCTCAGTAGAAGATTTGACATATGTCACAGCCTGACAAGCACCTCCATTGGACAGGTAGACAACAACACGTCAAGATGACAATATCATTCATCACTCTCAAAAAGAGAATAAACTCAAGTTTTCTCATTTGTTTTGTACCTTTCATATTTTTTTTTAAAAATAAACATTCTTCTATTTTACTAATTTTTGTACTTTTTCTTTTTTTTATTCATTTTTACCTTTTCTGTAACTTCCTCTTTACCTCTCTTATTTCCTTTACTCTGTTCTTTTTCTCCTTCACTTCTCTTTCTTTATATTTTTTCTTCTTTACTTATACCATTTCTTCTATTCCTTCCCCTTCTCTCTATTTTTCATCACTTTCTTTATACTCCTTTTTTCATTACATTTTATCTTTTTCTTTCTTTTCTTTATTCTGTTCTTTTTCTCCTTCACTTTTCTTTATCCTCTTTCTTTTTTATTTATACCATTTCTTCTATCTCTATACCTTCTCTCCTCTCTATTTTGCATCACTTTCTTTGTACTTCTTTTTTCATATCATTTTATCTTTTTCTTTCTTTCTTTTTAAATTTTCCTTTTTTGCCTTTTCTTCTTTATATTATTATTTTTTCTTTTTTTTATTATCTTCAAATTCAAGCTATTTCTTCCTTTTGGAGATTTTTCTTTTTTAAAAAAAAAAAAGACCTTTTTCTCCCCAAATCATATGAATGGACAATATATTGGTGCATGAAAACCTAATACATAGAACTAGCAGCATAAATTCTTTGACTTTAAAAAAAACATTGGTAAAAAATGAATAAACAAAAAAAATCAATGTAGGGTGATGGGCAAGAAAAAAAACTCTGCCATGAGACTTTTTTAAAAATTTCTTTTTACCTTTTTTTAACTTTAAGTTTGCTTTATATTTCAATGTCTTATTTTTAAATTAAAGTAAAGTGCAGTTGTTTTTAGAAATCACATGTGGTTTCCCAAGTCTCAGTCAAAAAAAATATGTTTTGGGTCACATTGAAGGGAGCTTACATTTTGATTCAATGTAGATATGAAAACCTCTGCTCAACTTTGAAGCTATGTATTTTTCTATTTCTCAAAATATATTTCTCAAACTTTGAGTAGAAAATAAAAAGAAAAACAGCAACTTTTTCCCCCTGGAGATGAAAGCGAATTATATATATATATATATATAACTTATAAAAAGAAGAAAATAAATTGTATAAATATTACAAAAAATGAATTCATAACTTGAAAAAGTGTTGTAAGATATCAAGATGGTGGCAGTGGTTGCAAAGACATTGTTGAAAGAAATTTGGAGAAAAAAATAGAGGTTAAATGAAATAAAAAATGATGATGAAGGAACCTTCAGAGTGACTTAAGAATTTTTCAATATTAACTTTTTATTTTCCCTTTTTTTCCTGATTTCCTTTTCTGCATTAATTCATTCATTTGTCTTGTTGAAATGTGTTGTGACTTTGTTTGTATGATCTGAAAATTACCCATCCCCCATACAGAAAAACATTACCCATCCCCCATACAGAAAAACAAAAAAAGAAATCTCAAAAAGAAACATTTTTTTTTCCCTCAAAACAAGGGGAAACATTTTAAAGTGCTTGATGAGTTTTGAGGGATCTTCCTTCGCAATAATAAAAAAAAAATAAAATAAAAGTTGGTTCAATAATTCATTACAGACATTTTGAAAAGCTTTTTCTCCCCCCTACTTTTTTTTATTACTTTTTTATATTTCTAATATTATTTATAAAAAGTTCAGTTTTATAACTTTTTCCGTTTTCTTATTCTTTAACAAAGTTTAATACTTGTATAAAATACATATTTTAACAATATTTATTTAAAATTTTATAACTTAATTAACCTGTTCTCAAGAACAAAAACCGAGTATAAAACTTTCACCAAAGTTTTTCTCAATAATATTTTGAATTTATGATAAAAATGAGATAAGCATATTTGAAACAATGAAGAGAGTTTGTCAGATATTCATTGGTAATATTTAATTTTCTATTAATCTCTTTGAGAAGGCATGAATCCAATTCTCCCTGTACTTTATCTAACTGATATTCTGAAAATATTTCTTGGCATTGGTATATTCTGGAAGTTAATAAAAGATTGTGTGTGAGTGGGTTAATGATTAATTAGACAAAACATTTAATAGGGTAAAAATAATGAAACTCTATTTTGTCAAACTTGATTGGATTCATTTGTATGTGTTGTTGCTTTCTATTTAAAGAATTTGGAAACATTACTTAAAAATAAACTTGTCCACTCATAAAGAATATGGAAAATTTTTTAGGGAATGATTTTTGTAGATTAGCACTCATTAGACTTATGGCATTTGCTACAATAAAATAAATATAAATTTTATGTTGATTTAGAAGAGGTGGGGTATGTTTATAATATAAATACAACCAGAAATCAATACTTTTACAGAGTTATCTGGGCTTTGTTAAATTTGATATCTTTGATATCTGCATATTTTTGTAAAAGATTTTCTGAATTTTTTAATTTTTTCTTTTTTTTTAAAAGTTTTTTTGAAAAACTTTTTTTCAAGAGGATTTTGTTTTTCAGATTCACGTGAACACTTAAATGAAATCTTTTTGTAAAGAAAAATAAAAAAAACTTCTTTTTTCATACACAGAACAGTTAAGTCCAGATAACTCTAAAAAGTCAGAGTTCAATTTTACACTATTTACATTATTCAGACTATTGTCCTCATCTTTGTCACCATATTTATTACAACATTTCGGCCATTGTATGCTCTGGCCTTCTTCAGGTGGTTGGAATATCGAACTTAACCGTTTATTTCCTTTTATGGCACAGTGGATAAAGGCATTGGTTAGATCCAGTGACAGGACCCAAAGAGTGTGAGTTCAATACCCAGTTAAGGCAGTGGATAACTTTCAGAGGGAATTTAACAGGAGATAACTGACATCCATTAAACATGGCACGTGGAACTAGAACAGTCTACCCCAGTAAGCGAAATGAAGGGTTCAGTTTGACATTCCAACCACCTGAAGAAGAGCGGAGCGTGCAACGGCGACAAAGATGAGGACAATAGTCCGAATAATGTAAATAATGTACATAATACCTCATCTCAGAAATATAGACAGATACTTTGAAGAAACTATGACTGAATACCTGTTTGGCTTTCAATCCAGATATGCGGAGGGAACTAGTTAGGTGTTCGACTGTGCTGTAGTCATAGGACTGGTAACGATCATAGCTTGCTCATTTTACTTTTTTATTATTTAAATTTTATTTTATCTATTTTTATATTTAATTTCTTTATTTTGTATTTTTTCTTTTGTATATAAAATAAAATTTATTACATTTAGTATATGGGATTTTATTTAGTCCTGTGAGTCTTTTGGTTGTAGATAGCGTAGTAGGAATTTCCAAATACTCATATAATGTTTTAGGTTATAAATATTCATTACCTTTAGCTTATTTTGATTATTTATTTGATAATTTTATTTTATTTAATTAATGCATTTACTTTTTAAATTTGTTATTTTATTTATTTTTGTATATTTTATATAAATGTCAGTATTATAAATAACCTAAAACATTAGCCCTAAAAAAAAAGGATGGTGAAGGGCTAGTTTACACCCTGCCCCACTTCCCATATATCCCCAGGGTCTTATATAGATAGCTTGTGAATAAAGTTGTAATGTATGGTCTAGTGATGACTTTAAACATGAAACTGATAATCACAATGAAGTGTTGATTCCTAGGTTCAATGTACCTTTTTTATACTATTATTTACCCAATACATGATCCAAGAGCCACTCAAGGTAGAGTGTTAGTGAATAAGGTTTTTGTAAGGGTGTAAGAAGATGAAGTTAAAAGTGCATATTATGAGAATATGTATGATAGATAACAGTTGACTCTAAACTTGGAGAGGTTAAGATTTTAGTGATTGGGAAAAGTTCCTCTTGGGGTGAGTTCTGCGATGCAACAGTTCCATTGTTTTGTCTGATAGGAAATTCTTCCTTATTAATGGAATACAAAGGAAACTGAGATAAATCAGTATTGTTTACCTGTAATGTCAGGTCCTAGCTGTGAAGATCTGAACTGGTAAAACTGAGAAATGTAGTTCGTCTAAAAATTTGCCATGGAAAATAGCACTAGAGTAGTGAGAGGCTAGTGACATTTCATCATCACATTTCATTTTTGGTTTGCTCCCTCTCACTTTCACTCTCTGTAACCCCCTGCATGCTATTGGCTCTCCTGCATTCCTTGGGGTGAAAATTTAACAAAAAAATCTGACACTTGTGAAGATAGAGCATGACACAAGGAATCGGGTACTTTCTGGAGTAGTACACAGAACCAACCATTCCTTCCAGTATCTGTAACAATGGATCATATATACAAGTTTCAGTTAAGGTTTGAAATGGTCTTGAGTTTCAATAGACAATTGAGGCAAGGCACCTTATTGAATGAGCAACTGCTCATCATGATTGCAGAAAGTTTAGGGTCAACTTGATAATAATGATGAAACATTCTATTTATCTCTATCTGTAGAATCACCAAAGTTGAGCAACATTGAACCTGGGGAGTACCTAGATGGGTAACTGCTTGGGAATACCAGGTGCTGTAAGCTTGAATGTGTAGGTGATGTAATGATAATGGATTGGAATTTTTAATCGGAGGGATGAATTCCAATTTCAATTGGGTTCCTTATATGCACTTGAGAAAGGTATGAATCTGCCTCTTCTCCCTCAGCTATGGGTTAATTAGTAAGACTTGGTATCACTAAACTATTATCTCAAAATAAAAAATTACAATCTAAAAATATTTTCTGGCTTTAAATAACCTGCAAAGGATTGATAAACCATAAAAAATGAATGAAACAATCAACTCTCTCTCTCTCTCTCTCTATCTATCTATATATATATATATATATATATATATATATACACACACACATACATGCATACACATGTGCTTTTCAATATTTATTTATATGAGTTTAATTTGCCAACACTGATTGGCAAGTTAGATTAATTTTTATTGGCCTTTTCACCAAACTTCCTCTTAGTTTCAAGGAAATGATATATGCTTCCATCATTATAAAATGAATCATAATTTTTTTTTTATTTTTATTTTGTTGACTTAGAAACCTGCCTTGGTATTAATAACAGACATAAAGGAATACCTTAAGTTTCCCCTTGAAAATGCAATAAGGAGCTAATATAAAGTGATACAGAAACCTGGTGGCCAGGTGAAATGCAATTTGTAAGTAAGACTTTGTGTGTCTCTCCAGTGAATGAAATCTCAAGAGACATAAGAGAATTTAAATATAAGTTATTCCTTATTTTACTTATTTACTTTTTGGTTGGAGACATTATACCTATTATAACACAGCTATAACCAAATGACTATAAATGACTGTTACACTTCAAAATTCATAAGAGTCATGTCTCACATTATGATGTCTCACATTATGATATGGACAAAGTCCAACAATTATTTTAAGACATTTTTATGTTTATACATTCTTTTTTATAGATACAAATATTTAAGTAAATGCTCTGTTTATAATAAACAGTATTAACAACATTTACCAGCCTGATTGTCATAGAAAATATGCGTCTTCCAACAGGAATTGAACTTGTATCCTATACAGAAACATCATATAGCCTGACGTGCTTTTACTGATTTC